CCTCGATCAATTGGATGCATTCCGAGCTTAGCTAAGAACATTTCATGCCGGTGACGCTCGGCACGCGTGCGTGCGGTGTGCCACTCCTGCAGGAGCTCCAACAAATCTTCTCCAAGCTCTGACAGCTCTCAGTCCGGTCGCGGTCTCCAACGCGGCGCACCTGTCGTGTCGCTGTCGCGGGGAACAGATCGGCAATTGTTTCCTCTTCGACATCATCTCATCTTCCTCATGTCACCCGTAGTTGTGCTCCAAGCTCCGAGAACGGACGTTTTGTTAAACTTCAAAATAGCATTGGTGTATTCGGACAGCCTGCCTCGGCCAAGGTAACTAAAACAACCCAAGAAAACCCGGTAAAAGCAGTCCGTCTCGTTATTGTACAAGCGCAGTGGATGGTATCGCGCAGAGCCTTTCTATCCACCCCGACTGAAATAACACGCTGCCTGTCATGTCTATAGGTGGTCGTTTGTGCGACCCTTCTGCTCTGTCAGCGCCCGCAGGTCTAATTGCGCGCGCCTCAACTCCTTTTTTTGTCTCCTGTATCTCTACGCGTAAACGCTTAGAGCTTCTTGACAAGCTCGGCCCACTTCTCGGTAGAGAAGGACTTGGGGCGCTCGATGGGGGCACCGAGGGCGCGGTCGATGATGAGCTGGGGAAGGACACCGATGGCGCGGGAAACACCGAAGAGGACGGTGTAGTAGTTGGCCTCGGTAAGACCGTAGTACTGGAGGAGGACACCGGAGTGGGCGTCGACGTTGGGGAAGGGGTTCTTGGTCTTGCCGTGCTCGGTGAGGACCTTGGGGGCGATCTTGTAAACCTGGGAGACGAGGTTGAACATGGGGTCGTTGGGCATCTTCTCTGTAGGGTTGTCAGCATCACGTCCGCAATCTCAAGTCGGTCTGTTGATACGTACCCTGGGCGAACTTGCGCTGAGCCATGTAACGGGGGTCAGTCTTGCGGAGAACGGCGTGGCCGTAACCGGGAACGACGCGGCCGGCGTTCAGGGTGGACCAGAGGTAGTCGGTGATGGCCTTGTCGCTGAGGTCGTCGCCGACAACCTTCTTCATCTCGGTGAGCCAGTTAAGGACCTCCTGGTTGGCCAGACCGTGGAGGGGACCGGCCAGACCGTTCAGACCGGCAGAGACGGAGAGGAAGGGAGAGCTGAGGGCGGAGCCGACCAGGTGGGTGGTGTGGGCAGAGACGTTGCCACCCTCGTGGTCAGTGTGGATGGTCAGGTACAGACGCATCAGCTCAATGAAGTCGGCGTTGTCGCCGAAGCCGAGCTGGTTGGCGAAGTTGAAGGAGTAGTCCTTGTCCTTCTGGACGGGGGCAACCTTGCCGCCCTTGAAGACGTTCTGGTAGATGCGAGCGGCGATGGTGGGCAGCTTGGCAATCAGGTCCATGGAGTCCTCAAAGGTGTATCCCCAGTACTCCTTCTTGTTAACACCCTTGGCGTAGGCCTTGGCGAAAGAAGAGGTGTGCTCGAGGGCGGTGACGGCCAGGGAGAACTGGGCCATGGGGTGAAGGTCGGTAGGGCAGTGGTCGATGAGCTCCTCGACGAACTTGGGGATGTCGGAGCGGGCAGCCCACTCGGCGGACAGGTCGCGGACCTGCTGCTCGGTGGGAACCTCACCGGTCAGGAGAAGCCAGAAGAGACCTGTTCATCTCGTTAGCCCCGCGCACAAAGGCCAATATCGCAATGCTCAAACTCACCCTCAGGAAGAGGCTCCTTGCCACCGGGAGCCTTGGGGAGGAGCTCCTGGCACTCGGGGATGGTCTTGCCGCGGAAGCGGATACCCTCCTCGGAGTCGAGGACGGAACCCTCCCAGACGAGGCACTTGATGCCACGGGCACCGCCATAGACCTGGTCGAGGGTCACCTTGTCGATGACCTTGGAGCCGTGCTCTCTGCGCCGACGAGGTTAGCGAGTGTCGAGGTTGGTGATAAGAGACTTGATAGGCGTTTGCTTACTTTCTCAGGGCCTTGACCTCCTCGATCTTCTCAGGGAGGAGCTCAGCGAAGCGCTCCTTGAGGGTCTAGTTGGGAACGTGTCAGCTTCACGATATCCGAGGTTTGCGGCCGGACGGGCGGGAAGCTGTAATTACCTGGTTCTTGGAGGAGTAGCAGCGAGCGGCGTTGAAAGCCGTCAGCCTGGCATTGAAAGGGGAGACCCTGAGGGAGGACCTCAGAGCCGAGGAGGAAAGACGCGCGACAGAGGCCATTGTGAAGATACTGAGGAGTGGAGGACTGGTGAAGGATGGAAGTCGGAAAGAGGGAAGAAAAGACTCGAGAAAAAGGCGCAATGCCTGGAAAAAAAATATGAGGTACAGAGGCGTTCCCGGACCCGATGCCCCCCTGCACGGAAGTTACATCACTTGGGCGGCGGGTGTGTACACACTGCGGAAATACCAATGGACACCCCGGGCATACGGGATGGCCGCTGCGGTAAGGTACCTGTGCAGTGCGTTTTGGTGTGAGAAGTACACGGCACCCGGGTGCCCTGCCTTTGGCGCGATCCCCAACGTCGGCCCCAAACGTCCAACAAGATGCCGTGAACTCAGCAGGGCGGTTTATTGGAGAGTAAAGACTTCAAGGTGTCTTTAACCTACCTAGCGCTAAGAGGAATGAAGGAGAGACTCTCAACCGCCGCCTGACTTTACACTATGTGGCATTCATACTCATAACCCTCCCTACCATAACTCCCTTACGCCTGGTCGTGTCCTTACTCAGGCTGGTTTCAATTGCGACGGCATCCTTCTTCGCCGTCGATACTTGAGGTAAGGAGCTTTGAGGGAGAACGAAAGCCCGACTTGTACCGTTTCATGCAACCCCCCAAACGACTCCAATCAATCTGTCCTGTCAATCTCTGGATCTGGCCTCTCCTTGAGGAGTCCCCGTCTTTTTACGTATCTGTTGTGTCCACACATCTTGTAAAATCTGTCTTGCACGCACTCTGTCTCCAGTTTGTTCTCCGTATCGCCCCGCCCCGTTTTTGCGCGCGAAAAGCCGAGAGAAGTGGATGTCTGGGCGGCTTCTTTCGGAGCACCCACCCATCGTCCGAAGTTCGGAACGCCAGCGAGCCAACTGCATTGCATCTTTCCATGCTGTTGACATCGTAGCCTTGATCTGCCCTGACTTGGAGGCAGCTGGGCCAAGAACAATGCGCCTCACGGTGAGACTGGACATTGAGATTGAGTTGTTGAGTATCCGGGCACTTAGAACTGCGGCCCCGGCCCCCACGAGTCGTTCACCAGCCGCCTCGAGCTATTGTCGTGCTACAGACGCCGGACTCGGTGCCTGCGTTAGTAAGGAGTAGTGTCAACAGCGTCGAAGTCGATTGGGGCTTTGCTGATCGATCGTCGCCGTTGTGATCCAGAGCTCCGAGCTTGTCTCGCACGTCTGCCGCCAGCTCCGAGCCTCCGTGACCCGCCGCAAAGCTCAATGTAACCTATGGGGACGAGGAACTGACCCTCCTGCCTGTCTTGGAGAGACTTCTCCTTCGTGGCACAGCATCGTATCGACCGCCTCATCCGAGGATGCTCTTGCTTGGCCAGCAAAACAGGGTTGGGGTTCCGTTCACCCACGGCAGACCAGAGCACCAGTAGCCGGCAATCACGTAATCCAAGTGACAAGTCGTTGGAGAGAGCATCGTAGTAGCCGACTGTTCACCCTTCATCAGGCGCAACAGACTCGCGAGCGATCAAGTAATTGACGACAGAGAGGACTTCGTTGCTGGGCAGCGAATCTTCCAAGTGGAAGTTCAATCTCCCGTATGCGCTGCAGGTGGGCAAGTGGGCTTTGTCCGCACATACGGCGGCCAAAGAAGCTCCGGTAGTGTCGTGTTCATCCGGCCCGGAGACGCAAATTTGTTGACGGGAGCTCTGGCCAATCCGAGCGCCGAAAAGGCATTTCCCGTTATTTCCAGATTGACGCGCTAACAATTAATTGAATTTGGCGGGAGAACTTCGGCGGTGGAGCTATTATCTCGCTTCGCGACTCGACCGACTTAGTCAGCAATATTGCTGCCTGACAGCTGTTGCTTTCTGCCTGAGAAAAAGAAGCGACCGGATGACAAAGATCTTACATTTTTAATGGGTCCATCTGTTCCATGGAGAGCTTTGACCATCTCTCACCTGCCAGCGCTGACTGTGTGACTGGCAAATCTCAGGCTCGGCAGCTCCTTACAGGCAGGCACGTCCACGTCCCAGTCCACGTCGTCTCTAAAATGTGACCCAGGTCCCGCCCTTCCCCTCTTCAGGAATTTCCCTCCTTCAACTCGACCTCCCTTCCTAATAATTACTACTGACAAGCCTCCAGGCGTCTCTGCATCACGCCCTCCCGCGCCCCGAAATCATCTGGTAACCATATCTCCATCGAGGCTCCCATCTCATCTTGACGAATATCGTATTTTTCCCAGCGAAAACGGCAAAGTCCGATCGTGGGTGAAGCCAGAAAAGTAGTCGTCGACGACCCTGCCAGTAGAAATCTCTTCCGTGACCTTGGACGACTCTTCAAACGTGTCGCACGCTCTGTCCGTACAAGTAGAGAGTCATTCAAATCCAGAGACTCGAATCGTTCGTACTTTGAGAGAGTGCTGGTCGGCGACATTTGGGATTTTCTGCCTGCGGCTTGTAAACACAAGAAAAAAAAAGTTGATCGGGGAAGGAGCCCACTGGTCTGGTCTGCTCTTGCCCGAGGAAGGAACTCGCGGTTTTTTGGGCCTCGGGTTTTTTTGGTCGTGGCTCGCGTTGACTCCTTCCACTCTGGACCTCACGTACACAAACCACCTCAGTAATTCGCCCACCGCGCTACTTTTCCCACTGCGCAAACATCTTCGGCTACTGGCCAACGCAGGCTTCATCTTTTTTCCCCCTTTGCCTGCGCGCCTGCCTGACTTCGTCCCCCATCGTATCTTTGCAACTGGGACGAAAACCCGAAAAAACACCACAACCCACCATCGCCACTACCATCGCCGTCGCCGTCGTCGCATTGCACCCGGCATCATGGCTTCCGCCGCGACCGCGGAGTTAGAAGCTGGCCTCCAGGCCATGCTCACCCTCAAGCCTCCCGGCGTTTCGGGCTCTCGCATCAATACGTTGACCAAGCTGTGTGTCGATAATGTTCAGGTACGATCTTCGCCGCGCGCCATCGCATCGTCAGTACCTGGTGACGTAGACTAACCTCGTTATTTTATTTTAGGATGAATCCTTAATCGTCCAGAAGCTTTACATGCAGTTCAAGAAGGCTCCTGTCTCCCACAAGCTGGGCGTTCTCTACGTGGTAGACTCTGTAACGCGCAAGTGGAATGAACAGGCCAAGGCTCTGGGTCAGGTTGTAGACAGCTCTGCTCCTGACAAGTCCTTCGCCGCTGGTGTCCACCGAGTCACCGAACTCATGCCAGTCTTGATGAATGACATTTTGCAGTATGCCCCTGAGGGTCAGAAGGTACGCTTGAAAATCTTGAATAGTTGGGGCCTCATTCGCCTCCCGCCAGTCACATCTTGCGATGCCTCATTGCAAGCTGAGTGTCAAGTGCTGAGTGCCTTCTACTGGCTCCCCTTTCACCTTTGACTCGCACTTCAGGACTTGAAAGCACACCAAGGCTGTGATGCTTGTGAACATCCATGCACATGCGAATGCTCACAAGCTGTTGTTTGATCACCCCGGATCTGAGGAATATTTACTTACTCTGTTTTGCCTCTTGTAGGATAAGATCTCCAAGCTCTTGGACATTTGGGAGAAGGGCCAGACCTTCCCCCCTGCGATGATAGAGTCATTCCGCAAGAACCTGAACGCCGTCCCTGTTCCTGAACCGAGTACGTCGCCCTGTGAGGCATTCAGCCTGCTTCTAAAGTAACAAGTGGTATTTCACTAACACATCTTCACTTGCAGTCCAGTCCACCACGCCGGAGGGTAGTCCCCCCCCAGGCTTGGTCGCGTTCATGGGTTACAACCGACCGGCCGCTCCCACTGCTCCTACTCCTCCTACTGCTCAGAACAGTAGTGCTATCATGGCAGCCCTTGCCAACATCGCCCGCCAGAACGCTGCAGCTGCAGCTGCCCCTGCTCAGCAACCTGCTCCAGCTCAAACTGCACCTCAGTCTGCCCCTCAGAGCCAGGCCCAGACCAACGCGCTTAGCGTGCTGGCCAACCTTCAGAGCATCACTGCGCAGCATCAGCAGAATGCAGCTCGTCCTGCTGCTCCCAGCCAGCCGCCTTACTCGCTTCCATTCAACTCCAGCCAGCCGGCCACCACTGCTGCTACGCCTGCGCCTGCACCTATTCCGGCGCCATTCTCTTGGCCTCCTCAGCCGCCGGCCCAGGCCCCGGCCCCGGGCCAGCCTGTTGGTATGCCGTACCCCGGTGCTGGAGCAGCTCAGCCGCCTGCTCTTCCCATGGATCCTCGAACACAGCAACAGCTGCTGTTGATCAAGACCCTCAGAGACCAGGGTGTGCCGTTGGAACAGATCCCGGCTCTTCTCGCTGTTCTCAGCGGAGGCGGTCCTGTTCCTCCGGCTCCTACGTCGGCTGCGGCTGCTCCGGCTACCTCAGCCACACCCGCCCCCAATTACTACGCCACGAACCAGGGATGGGGTGGTCCCGGCCAATCCAACAACAGCCATGACCAGCACCGGTACAGCGACGGCCCCAGATCGCCGAACCGGTACCAACGTTCTCGTTCCAGATCGCCGGGTCGCCACTGGGACTCCCGCAACCCAACCCGTGGCTCGCCTCGCGGTAGTCGTGATGACTACGCACGTCACTCTCCGAACCGTGGTCGCTACGATGACCGCGGCCGACCCGGCGATTATCGCCAGCGCAGCCCAGTCGGCAGGAATGGACGCAGCCCGACCCCTCGCCGCAACACCAAAGAGAAGTGGGTTGAGTACGACCCCACCATTCCCAACGGCAGGATCAAGGTCCTCAGCCGTACTCTGTTCGTCGGCGGAGTAGCGTCAGTGTCCCAAACCATCCCAACTCAACTCTGATACTGACTTCTTCCCTAGCTACACCGAGCCCGAGTTGCGAGAGATTTTCAGCAAGTTCGGTGAGGTGCAGACTTGCATTGTGAACAAGGATAAGCGTCACGCGTTCGTCAAGATGGTTAGCCGAGATGATGCGTTCCGAGCCAAGGAAGCCATGGAGGCCAATAGGGATAGCGACCCGCAGCTTCGAGTAAGTGAAGAACGGTTTCCCTTCTGACGTCCTCTACTAACAACATGTGCCAGACCCGTTGGGGCGTAGGCTTTGGTCCGCGCGACTGCAGTGATTACCAGACTGGAGTCAGCATCATTCCCATCTCGAAACTCACTGAGGCCGATCGCAAGTGGATGCTTACCGCAGAGTTCGGTGGCAGCGGCGGCAGACCCATCGAGACCGGCCTTGTTGTTGAGGAGCCCGATATCGAGATCGGCGCCGGCGTCTCTTCCAAGGCCATCAGTCGCCGCATGCAGACTGACAAGAGCGGTAACCACGGACCTCGTTCTACCCGCAGCGGACGCCACGATGGCCGAGATGGCGATGGCGACGATGGTCATGATGACTTCGGCCGCAACCGCCGTGGCGGCCGTGATCGTCGTGAGGACACCCAGGCTTCCGGCGCCAACGCCCAGCCTCTCCCTCAGAATTTCCCCTTCGGCATCACCACCCTGCCCAACGGCATGCCCGCGTACCCCCCTAACTTCATGTTCCCCGCCCCGGAGAGCAAGTAAGAAATCATCAGCATCGCATGCGATTCTCTTGCATATGGGACGGATTTGGCCTTGTATTTTGACCTCTTTTTTGGGGCCTTCCACCTGGATTGGCCCGTGATGATGTGCATTGAAAATCGGCGTTAGGAAGGCAAAAAGTCACACAACGGAAAGGGAAATACCATGGCAACAAACAACAATCCTGTCTCTTTGGACAGGTAAAGGGTAAACGGGTTTTCTTTGGCAACTCTATGATACCACCGCGAAACTGGCTTTTTAGGCTTTGGGATGGTTGGTAAAAGGGATTTTGTTTTCTTGTAGAGTAAATCGATCCTGGTTGTAAATACGGGGTCTTCAGGCAATGGAATGACACAATGGTAGCTATGACATCTGGTCTGTGATGTGATGTGTAACGTGACTGTCTTCTGGTGACAACCTTTTGGACTTCCCTGTGTCCGGATTCCACACTTCGTACATTCTGGACCTCTCCAGGGTGCCTATCATTGGCCAGCATTCGACGTCTCCTACACATCCCCATCGTTCTCGTCTTTCTCTATCGCCTCTCCCGCCACTTGACAGCTCCTGAGCCCTCTTGGCGAAGAACAACCAGGAAGAATCCGTGACAAAACAACTAGGTCTAGCCAGTGATCCAGACCAACACATCCTTTGTGAGGGGAAAAGAGGTCAATTCCGATACCTTGAGCGTAGTGTCCAGTAACTCAGAGAACTAGGGACGGAGGGTTGGAAGGAGGGAGAGAGTATAAGAGAAGCAAAAGAATGAGTGAAGCTGGTAATTTGTCGCTGGGGGGGGGGGGGGGGGGGGGGGGGGGGGGGGGGGGGGGGGGGGGGGGGGGGGGGGGGGGGGGGGGGGGGGGGGGGGGGGGGGG